CAACCGAGTCTAGAGTGTTTCGGCGGACCATCTTGGTCAGACTTTTGAACATGGGACTGGACCCATTGTTGCTGTTGTAAGAATTGTGAAGTTCTTCAGGGGATATCGATGAATTATCTGCCGTATTCGACAATGTCTCGCCGCTTGCTGTGGAGCCTCCGCCTGATCCAAGGTTCTTGCCTTTGGACGAACCTAGAAACTTGGAAAGCAGGCTATTCCGTTTGGGTTTGCTCATTCGTCTAAGAGGTTTGGTATGTCTGATTTCTTCACTGTTTACCCTAGGGCGACGTCGTCCTCGGCGTTTTCCACGCTGAGACCGCGATCGATGCATACCATTATTACTACCGCTTTCCGAACCGGAACCGGACAGAAGGCCACTTTCACCTGATCTAGTAGACGCATCTGGATCAAACTCTGACTCAGAATTATCACCATTACTTGGTTTCCGCATTAAGCTTACTTCATCCACAGATGCGCTTCGAAGAGGAGGCGTTTTGGATCTCATATATTCAGGGTCATCGTTCAATGACAAGGTGTATGCCATATTCTTGTGTCTATTGTTGATGTATTCTTGATGCTACTGTATGATATTGGTGGGACTACTATGTGATTCAATCTTGTTTCTCGATTTCAGCCTTGCCCTGCAATATTCTGGTTTGCACGGTCGCAGTTTCAGAACGAGTACCGCTGAATGAAGCCTTACAATGACGGGGTTGGCGCTGGAGATGGGTTTAATGCTAGAGACGTTTGTGATTGCTCGTTTTTACCTTGTCCAAAGACACGGTCGTGTTGTGTTCCGTTCGCTTGCCTGAACACTTTCAACTCCCTAACAGCTTCAAAGAAAAAAGGCCCAATCACAAGAATTGGGCGTAGGAATTTTCACGACAGACCTTCAATTGTTAATTAATGGTTGGGAAAGCGAAGTGTGTAAGCAACATTGATCGATATACAACTCTGGACCAAATGGACATTAAGAATGCGAAATTATTGAAAACATTTAACATCTCCAGAAGTCACTGGAATTCCCATAAACATTAATGGTCATATTTATGACTGCGACATGAGCAGTCTTAAAAGATTATCTTATATACCAGTATCAGAGAGGGAATGAATGAAAGCTTGATGACATAAAAGTTATTCCGATCAACGATGATAGTGCATGTCGTTAGCATCAATTTGAGTTGACATGACAACCATTAAGTCTATTTGATTTTCACACTCAAAACCATGGAATTTCATCACATCTGTAGTTTCCAAGCTGCCAAAGACTATTTTACTCAGTAAGAACTGGGCAACTTGAATGTGGCCTTTTAAGCAAGCAAGAATCAACGGTGTATACCCCTCTTTGGTCTTGGCTTCTATAATGTTCGATGGCAGATTATCGAATAGGAATTCGG